GGACTAGATAGTGAAGCACTGGTCTAGGGTGACAGACCCACCATTGATCTCAGGCTTCCAGAACAACAACAAATTTATTTTTGTATAGCGCATTATCACAACATTACATTGTCTCAAAGCGCTTTACAGCATCCCCACCCAAAGCCCCCAGTGAGTAAGCCAAAGGCGACAGTGGCAAGGAAAAACTCCCTAGAAGGAAGAAACCTTGGGAGGGACCAGACTCAAAGGGGGAGCCCATCCTCCAGGGGCCGGCCACTTTCCCCCATGCCACTTCCTGAAAGCCAGGTGCACCCATTCAGGCCAGCGCCACAATACTGGCCTTTTGGCTGAATGGTTTCCTCTGGGGGCCGGTGTGACTCAGCCCCCCCCCCCCCCAAATCTCCGAAACCTCCAGATGTGGCCAAGAAGCATTTAACAAGAAATGTTGTTGGCTATATTTCTCATGGGTCGGGTTCTTCATTTCTTTTGAAACAGATAAGCTGTAGAAAGGCTGTAAAAGCTACACATATAAAATATCTTAAAAGAATGTTTTGGAAATCACCAAAAAATTGTGAGCAGCATGACATAGCAAAAAAAAAAGTTAATGGTTATTTAATGTATATATAGTTTTCAGGTTCCTGTTTTTGCTTCCTTTAAATTTACCTTGTTAGCCGCTAATGTGCTAAAAAATGTGCCACTATTTTGCTAATGAAATGTAAAATGCAAAGGCTCTATCAATGCGAAATGATATTTGTAACCTGAGAAGGAAAGATCAAGGTGCACTTTGGCTAGAGAGCCTTCTCATTCAAAAGGATACAGCCTCTCACTTCTGACGTGCCATAGCTGTATTTGCATTTATGGCTATTTTGTAAACTGACAAGATTATAATTTCTTTCCATTACAAGAAAGGCAGGTCATTAATCCTTACATCGATACATAAAAACAAAGTGGGGATTTTTTTGGGCCTGAATCCAGTACCAGCTTGCATTTTGATACAAAATAATAATAAAACATCCTAAATCATCATAATGCACCATCAGAAAAGGAATTTGCAGTAAAGCTGGAAATGCCTGCAGTAATCCAGACATTGTTTGAGACTGTCCTCCTTTGACGGGGGGGGGCTACGTGTCACGGATCACCCTGGAACAGGATGAGCCCATGGACCAGAACAAGCCATAGCATCTCACCGCTTCCTCAATCCTTGTTACAGTATGTACCAAACGAGGACAGTGCTCCTTAACTTTGGTGAAAATAGTAGTACTAACACCAAATAGCAAGTAGAAATGATGAAACGGACATTTTAGCTTGTAAAAGCAAAACAAACAAAGGCATGAATGGCTGGAAGAAGAAAAAATTGCAAAACATGAGGACTTTGGTCTGGGTTACTGGGAACCAAGCAAACCAGAACTATATATATCAGATGAAAATAAGGGACCGGCGGAAACAGATCAGCATAGAAAATCTCACTCTAGTGACTCTCCCTTCACATCCAGCCAATGGAACCTCATCTTCCTTTCTCATAAATCCTTTTTTCAAAGGCATCATTTTGGGTGCTTTCCCTGGTTATTGACTGTGAGTAAAATGTCTGGGTGGCACACCCAATAGAACGGCCCCAAATCCCTGGCTGTAAAAAGCTTTCTATTTAGGATTTAATTTTGCCTCACAAAGTGAACACAACCGCCTGGAAAATATAGGGTAAGGAGTTTAGGAAATGGTGTACTCCTGCAGAAAACGAAATATAACCAAAACTCAGTCGATTGTGCGAAGGGTATTTTTAGTCAGAATAATGCTGCTCAGGTCTGAAATTTTGATATGGTTTATTTCAATGGTGACGTACTGTAAATAGCACACTGGCAAACACATGACTTACGTTGGACCATGTGATAGAATGCTTCTGATTTCTTTGATTCCATCCCTTCCACTTACGTTCCCGTGTGAGTTAACACATTAAATTGCGACATTGCACAGTGTCATTGCACAGAGAAATGCACTTTTCTACTGCACATACGACAGTAAGCGCTTTGAATCTTTTAATCTTGAATCTTGAATCATACGGTTGCAATCTGTCATTGGAGACGACGGTTCCACTTGCCGCTACGTTGGCGTGTGCATCTTTGCAGACTCACCTCTTCGGGGTAAATCACGCTGCCCCTTAAGAAGTTAGCCCGCGACATTCTGCCTGTGCGGCCTGGCTCGGATGGGACAGGCTTTCCCGGTGCCAGCCTTCCTTACATACAGCTCTGATTAAGGCCCTTGGCACTGCTTGGCATGTGCCTTTGATGTGGTCTCCTGCTAGGATCCCGGCAACAATCCGGGCCCAGCTTCACTTGGCCAGAGCTCCTCTGACAAGGAGGCGATCTCTGCGCTTGTTCCTGGAAGTCTGGGGTCGAATGAGCCCCAGCTGTCGTGATGCATGGTGCAACAGCTTGTATTTGTTTTGGAAGTGCTGAAAAAGCCAACTGAATGGCAGTTCGCCATGCACTACAATGGGCTCTCAAAAGCTACAATGAGCGTAGAAGGGGCAAATTCCGCTGTAGGACACCTACCTACGTATTCTGACAAGGACACCGACCACAGCAATTTGCATTTATACATTTTCTAACGCTTCTATCCAACATGACTTACAGTAGAGGAAGGGAGTATTATTTATGTGCATTCCGTGGGATTCAAAACCACAACCTTTGCATTGTTAGCACAAAGCTACACTTGTGCAGCCAGAGAAGCACCTGAGCAGGAATCATTCTAGCGTGTAGCAGAAATGGAGAGGAAGGAGGCCGGAGACGGACGAGCCCCCGGGGGTCACCTCGGGTGAACACCATGGCTGCTGGCCCACTCCCATGGTCTCCCCTGCCAAAGGAAAGTGACCACACCCCCCTCCAAAGGAAATAAGGCCCCACGTCTTCATGAGCTGATGTGACCACCGTCTAAACCTTCTCCTAAATGGAGGGATCTGATCCTTTTAAAAACTTTACACCCTTCTGAGATGCAGAGAAAACCTACATGCTGCTGGCCGCACCTGCGAAATTCCCTCAGCAGGGATGTGATTTGCCACTTATTAAACAGCAGATGCATGTATGTAATTTAGCAACTGAATTCTCCGGAATTAAAGATGTTCATCGAAATTGATGAGGTTAAATAACAGGATCTCTTCGGCTGAAAATGATATGCTACATTTTCACAGAACCTTGAACAAATGGTACCTGAAGAGAAAAGAAAACACCCACAAAAGGAAAAGAAGAAATTTCAAATGGGAAGGGGGGGGGGGTGTCCCACTGTCTGACATGCTTCAGATTGGCATCCTTCAGACTGGCATCCTTCTGACTGGCATGCTTCAGATTGCATGACTGGGGTTTGCAGCTGGCAGGGTTCAGCATAGATTATCTACAAGGCAGTTAACCTTGTGTGGAGAGCATTCTGTGCTTCAAAGTCAGCAGTGAAATCTGACCAATGTGAGACATAAAGTTTGTCAACCTTGACACCTATGCAGACTTTGTTACAGGATTTTAAGTTTAGCGTGAAATTACTGTTTTGAATTACTCAGGATGTCTAGATTGCAACTAGGTCTAGATACGAAACAGAAAATTCAGTTTAAAAACTTTGCAAGCTTTTATTGAGACAAACCATTTGGCACCTGTCATGGGATGGGCCCAAGCTGGAAAACTACACTGAAACTGCTGTAACTGTATCTCACCATGTGCTGTGAAAGCAATAGATTTCATTTTTATTATCAATAACCTATCTGTGAAACCTGCATATTTGAAACTAGCTAGAAAAACTAATTTAATACTCTGAAATCATACAGCTGTGAGCCACTTGTCGATGCCGAGCATGAGGTAGGCCCATCCATTTTGCGAAACTCAGTGCGCGTAGAATCCCACAGTAAGGACACCAGTGTCACCTAATGGTAATGTCTATGTACTGCAAGGCTATGACCGAGGATTCTTATTACGCTAAGAAGGCGGCGGCAACTCCTATTCCCTCAAATTGTCATACCGCAAATGTCATTAAAATTTGATCCTGCTGAACTTAAAACAAACATTAAGGCCAACATCGAGAAATATGTCATCATCGCAATAAAATACTACCTATAAACTACATGAAGGAAAGATATAGGAAATCTATCGCTTCACATCAATGTAATTTAACTTCAAGTTTTCCCGTACATAAAGTACATCACACAAGTTGAAATATGCATTCATTTTCAAAAGTATTTTTTAACTTAAAAAAGGACAAGCGAGTAATAGAAAATGGATGGATGAATGGAAGTTGCAGTTTTTTCCCCTCTCCAAATATATGTGCAAGTTAAGTATTCCGTTTTCCCTAAACGGCTTCTCATATATTCCCGCCTTTGTTTCCATCAGTCAAATCAGGTGATAGAGGTCAACACACCACCCCACCAAAGATACTGAAAATGGACATATGGAACGTCGGGATGTGTGAAAAAATAACACACAAGGACAACGTAATTAAAATAACTCGTCATTAGTACAGTGGTTTGTTCCATTTTGTTGTTACTATATGCACGGTTGTTGTTGTTACAGTCATGATCATTTATAAAAGCTAAAGAACGTTTTTGTGCAAAACAGCTACGTTTACTTATTGCGTATGATTATTATACTACAATTTGGGTTTTTTTATTCTTCCATTCATTGGATGTATCAAATGATAAGAATTTGTTGGGTTACTTGAGTAGGCCTATTTGACTCTGTTTCTAGTTTGTAAATAATTAACTTTAATACGTAACTGAATAACATTTTATTTAATAAACAGTGAAAACAGCGGACGGCACAGTCGACCACAAGGTAGGGATATTTGTGTTATGTTCAGGCTGCAGATCGTGTCCCCCGCTGGGTGCCCGAGTTTCCCGATCTGAACAAGCAGCTATAAATCAGATACCCGTAACTCATTTACTATCGAGCTACTCATATAGGGGGTCTGTTTCGTTTTTTTCCCTCTTCCGTAGCGGTCACCCACTGACCAATAAAGATGAAGAGTCTATTCGTTTCCAGGGCAACCGGGTCTATATCCCGGAAGTAGGGAGCAAATGGATAGAGGATGGGAGAAACCCATCGACAGGGAATAGCGATATCCAATTTAACAAAAATTAGAAAATCTTTTTCCTGGTTAAGTGTCGCAGACGGCAGTTTACTAACTTCCGTGGAAATAAACAACCCGATTATATTTAAAATGCGATGTTAACGTACCTTAAATGAAAATAGTACCATCTGTCATCTTAGTTAATAGTCGTCCGAGGGATCGACGTTGTCAGGCTAAAGCGAATAGCTGTTTTCTGCTAACCGGCAGCTCGCTTGCTAACGCAGTGGCAGTTTGGGTCGCAGCTTCGGGTCCTTTTGTAGGGTCCAGTCCATTTGGATGGACAAACAGCGCAGCTGTTGCTGCACGAGCTAAATGGTAGAATAAATATGTTAAATCGATGCGTAGCTGAATAATGTAGCTGAAGTATGTCGCTTGGATGGCGGAATTTGTCAAATAGCCACGACGCTTGGTCAGTGTTTGTAGTAGCCAGACGGAGAAGGATATGAGGTTTAATGTGAGAAAAGGGGACCGGGCGTTATGACGGAGTGAGCTGAGCGCCCAGTTCGGGCGCGGCCTGCGTCTCCGGCGTCTTCATGTCCCACAGGTCTGGTACCACGTAGCCGCTGTCATTTGTCCTCAGTGAAAAGGTACGTTTTGTTTTTTACCTCCCGGGTTTTGTGCTAATTTGGCAGGAGCCCTCTAACGCTGGTGGCTGGGGAAGTGGACTTAAGATTGTTACCGAGTAACTTAACATAACACTATCCGCCTTTTATTGTAGTGTTGAACTCGACCATCCAAAGAGTAACAGATTAACTTTCGTTAAACAAATGAAAGTGTTCAAGTCTTATTTGTACTAAACCTGTTCCGTGTTTATTTTGTTCATTATGAATAACTTAATTATGCTCACCTGGCGATTACATTTTTGTAACGCATATATTGCCATGTTTTGATTTGACATCCCTTACAGTAAAGAATTTGGTGGTTTATAACTATTATACAGTAATGAAATGTGTGATAAATCAAACAGAACAGAAATAGCACTGAGTCTACCTTCACTGGTAAAATAATTATAAAAGGCTGCACCTGAACACAGATTGGACCATTTAAGGGCACTGTGTGGTCTTTGTGACATCGGTATATCTTTGATTTGATACTATTTTAAGGTAATCTGAAGATGGCATTCTAGTTCATGAATAGGTCATTCCATTTTAATTTAACAAATTGCCAAAAAAGTTTTTGCATCACCATTTTTTGATTTTGATGAAATTTAGAATGAGAATTACACCTGCTTTCCAGGGCTCTGAAATGTTTTTATTTAAAAAAAAAGAAAGAAGAAATGTTCCCTTTGAGAAATAGCACGTTTTCATCACTGCTGGTATAATGTCTGGATAGGATGAAAAATTACATCCAGTCCAAGCCTAGGAGATTCTAGCCCAAAGTTTCAGTTTCTCATGATCATGATTCTCATGATCGTTTCACCACAACCGCTTTCCGCGCTTTTCAGCAAATCTTGATAAGTGTAAAAATACTCTTCTTGAGCTTTTCAAAGAGCTATAGCTGAGTCATGTACCTATAATGGTAAAAAAAAAAGAATTACAGCTCTTAAGAAATTCTAATTTTTTTGCTACCCGTGGTGAAGAAAAGGTGCTATACATCTCAAAAACAAAAAAAAAAACAAATGATGTCCTATAGAAGGTATGTGTGATTAGCATACCGAAATTCATCAATCAAAGATGGTGATGCAAAGGCCATTTCTTCAATTAACATGGAATGACAACGTGTGGCTCAGTGAGCTAAGCCTCTTGCCTGTGATCAGAAGGTTGCCGGTTCGAGCCCCGACCTTAGCAGAGTAGTCATGTCTGGGGGTCCTTGAGCAAGGCCCTTAACCCCCAGCTCCGTGGGTGTTGCTACAGGTGGCTGACTCATGTGTCATGGAGAGTAAGATGGAGCAGGCAAAAAGAGAATAATAATATGTCTTGGTCCTGATTGGTGAACATTGTCCCAATCTAATATGTTTATTCCTTAAACCACTTTTGATATCAAAAAAGGGCCGTCCGGAATGTAAAGATGGTTATAACTCTGACTTTGCCTGTTTAGATGGACCTCTGTAGCCGGTATCCCAACCGTACAGCCCCAGTGGGCGAGGAAGGTGCCCACAGGCCAGATCTGCCCCTGTGCTCCCGCACCAATGGCTGGAGCTGGCCCCCCCACCCCTTCCAGCTGCTGGCCTGGCTCCTGTATGCTTATTTTGCTGTGGTGGGCTTCGGCGTGTTTGTCCCCCTGCTGCCCCCACACTGGATTCCCGCTGGCTACATTGTATCCTTACTCCTAATTACTGTTATCATCTCTCCCACTAGCACTTGGCAGTGAATAGCACAGATATTAAGCATCAGGACTCAGTTAGCGTAGCATTTAGGACTTTGGCTCCGCTGTTGCACCTTGGGGGTAAAAAATTTATTCTGAATGTCTCTGGCTGTTTATTTGAGTCAAAAGGTAAGGACGTTTCCTAAGCAACATTGCAATCAATGTAAATAGCTAAATAAAATAAATTAAATCAAGTATTTTGTTATGGCATCTGTGTCTCTTAGTTTCAGGTTCCTTCCAGGATACGCATTATATCCCCAGCACACATAGATGATAACTGATAATGGGTGACTCTGGATGGCATTCTGGATGCACTGGGATAGAAATTAAAGTGAAAATGGAGTGAAACCACAACATCATGTAAAGTAAATACTAGTTGCAGAATTGTTCGGTAGGGTTACTCTCCGACAGAGGTGCTGATGGTGCCGCACCTGGCCCCGTTTGTCCTTGACTGGTCCACAGTGCACAGGCGTGACGTTTGTGTGTCACCTGCTCGTCCATCTGACTGCCGTGTCCATCGACCCGGCTGACGGCAACGTCCGGGCCAAGAGCTACAAAGGGCCCCTGCCCGTGTTTGACCGCACCAAGCATGCCCATGTCATCGAGAACTGCCACTGCTACCTCTGCGAAGTGGCTGTGTGAGTAGGACCCCTCCCGCCCTGGGCTGGGCCCACTGAGAGATGTCCATGCCATTCTGTGGTTCTGTGGGTCAGGATTGTATGCCTGTAATCTGAAGGTCACCGATTCTGTCATCGGGCCTAGAGAAAGGCCCTTAACCCAAATTACTAGAGGCAGTGGCTGATCCTGTTCTCTGATTTTCACCTGTAAGCCACTTTAGACTAAAGTGTCTGTAAAATATAATGTTTTATCCTTTGTATGACAGTAGCAGTGATCCTTGCATCAGTTTGGTTGAATTCTATGATACTATTAAAAATGGTGCCTTTTTATGTTGGTGTTGTGCTGTCCCCTAATGTACACTCTGTTTTCAAGGAGCCCCAAATCTAAGCACTGTAGCGCTTGCAACAAGTGTGTGGCCAGTTTCGACCATCATTGTCGATGGCTCAACAACTGCGTAGGCAGCAGGAACTATTGGTGAGTTCATTCACTGCCCACTAGTACTTCTCGACCGTCGTATCACCCCCCCCCCCCCTGAAGAGCCCGCCTCTGCACATTGATGTAGATACCTGAGGTACCCACTGCAATGGCCCCTGCACCAGAAACATGAAGCCAGCTAAACACCTTAATGTGAAGGAGTTGCCGGCCCCAGGAGGATGGACTCCCTGTGTGGGTCTGGTTGCTTCCAAAGTTTCTTCCTACTAGGGATTTTTTTTCCTTGCCATTGGCACCCCTGGCCTACTCCCTGGGGGCACTGGGCAGTGTAAAGGTCATTTATTGAATTAAAATGTAGAGAAAACCGAACGCAGTATATCAGCACAAACACCTCATACCAGCCATCGTGCTCAGTGATGGAGGGGTGATGATTTTGGCTTGTTTTGCAGCCACAGGACCTGGGCACCTTGTAGTCATTGAGTCTGACCATGAAGTCTTCTGTATACCAAAGTATTGTAGAGTCAGATGTGAGGCCATCTGTCTGACAGCTAAAGCTTGGCCGAAATTGGCTCATGCAAGAGGACAGTGATCCAAAGCACACCAGCAAATCTACAACAGGCTGAAAAAGAAAATAATCAAGGTGTAGCAATGGCCCAGTCAAAGTCCAGACCTCAACCTGATTGAGACGCTGTGGCGGGACCTTCAGACAGCTGTGCAGAAACGAATGCCGGCAAACTGAAATCAACTGAAGCAGCGCTGTAAAGAAGAGTGGGCCGGAATTCCTCCACGATGATGCGAGAGACTAAAAGTCATACAGAAAACTATTACTTCAAGTTATTGCTGCTAAAGGGGGCTCTACAAACGATTGAATCATGGGGTGTACTTAGTTTCTCACACATGGCTTCTCCCTTTTGACTAAATTTTTGTTAAATAAATAATGACACTGTGGAATCTGTGTGTTGTTCTGCACTAGAGGTTGGATTTAAATCATTTTAGGACCTGGTAAGTACCAGATGGTTGTTTTAAAATGATGTCCTGATACGTAAAACCTTAGAACTGAAAGGGGATGTACATTCTTCTTCACATGACTGTATAGTCAGGGGTCCTAAAGTATCATGAATGGATAGATGGATGAACTTCATTGATCCCAGCTGAGATTTTTTTTGTTACAGCAGCAAATGTAAATTACACAGCAAAATAAATTACGAGCATAAATTACAATTACACAATGTGGATCAGTACAGTACATGTCATCAAACCTTGGTACAACTTTGATTACGTGTTTTGTAATCCATGGGGTTTGCAGTCCATGTGAAGAGTTTCCATAGCCGATGGCTATAGGTCCTGAATGTAACAATGTGAGTAGGTTTTCCCGAAGGCACTGTCTGCTTGATTTAAATGCTTCATTGTGCTAATCTGAAAGTATCTCTATGCAAATCTGCCATTCTAAAGTAGTTTGTTCAAACCATAGGATATCTCAGCGCTGTAGAATGTTGGGGTCCAGTGCCGAAATGAGGCCATGAGGAAACCTTTGCCAAACCAGCTTCCTTAAGCCCTTTGTTCTGTTGTCAGTAGGTCCTAGGAGCTGGTTTCTGCATCTGGATTCAATGGGACATCAAGTATTTACAAGCTATGTCCAATTATGAAGGCACATGTCTGGGCATGGAAGTGCCCCCCCCTGTGGTGGGGGTCTAGGCCCATACAGGAAAATAAGCAGTTTGTAGACCCTGGACCTCAGGCCCCTGAGCAGATCGGCCATGATAGCCCCCTTAGCCTGATGACAGAGGATGCTGCACCATCTTCACATGGACACACCATTCTGTCTATCGGTATTAGTCCAAAGACTGCCGGCAGTAACAGTGAACTTCTGATAGAAATACATAGCTGTGTGTCTGACCCCAAGTGCACTCTGCTGTCCGACTATGGTTGACCCTTTAGAATCATAATCAAGCATTGAAAACAACAATGTGGACAAAGGTGATAAAATTTAGTCATAAAAGCACCATTTGCATTTTGTATTTCACTATCCTTTTAGCCGTTGTACATCTGCATTATTTGTTGGTTAGTGGCTAAGCTATTGTTGGTTTTTACATCTCTGCTGTCACTGAAATTGCCGTCCAGCCATTTGCATCTTCCCACTGGGCTCCCATCTAACCCCCTTTGTTACTCCTGCCTTGCCACAGGCTGTTCTTGCACAGTGTGATCTCCGCACTGCTGGGAGTGTTTCTGGTGGCACTCCTGGCCAGTTACGTGTTTATCCAGTTCTTTTTGGATCCCTCCACGCTACGTTCCGACAAGCATTTCGAAGGTAACCCGCCGCCTGCTATTTGTGTTGTTTCCCAAAACTGTCTTTTCTCAGTCTGTAAACTTCTGACAACATTTCTCTTCCCACCTCAGCCTTCCACCATTTGTTAAAGTGCTTATAGCATCAGGTTTGCTCAGAATTGAGATTGAGATTAAAAAAGTCACATTCAGGGCATAACTTTCCCATCAGTGACATTCCTAACAATGGCTGCGGTTTGTTGATGCATAAAGTGATTTTTTGATTTAAGGAGTTTAGGAGCATTTAGGAGAGCTTATGCCAACACTGCATCAGTCCCTCGGCACCTGTAGTAGGATGATTCATTGTAGAATTGTTTTTGAGATTTGTCGACGTTTATATGAGAGATTTACTCCAGCTTGCCTCAATCTTCTGTCTGCCTTCAGTGAGCAATGGGACCTTGGTGTGGTTTGTGTTCCTGCCCGTGGCCCCTGTTTCCACCAGTGGTCCAGCCATCCCTGCGCTGGCTGGCATCACTGTGGCCATCGGCCTCCTGTCCGCCCTACTGCTGGGCCACCTGCTGTGCTTCCACATGTACCTCAGTAAGTGTCCGTGATGCCCCACACTCCTGCTGCCCTCTCTGTCAGTCTTACTCCATTCTGCACTGCCCTCACTTCTGTGTCTATGTAACTGTGTGTGTGTGTGTGTGTGTGTGTGTGTGTGATGTCTCTTCCACACTCCTGCTACACTGCTGCATCAGTCTCAGTCAATGTTTACTCTAAATTGCCCTGCACTTCTGTATCAACTTCCATTAACCTCTACTCTGTGCTCCATTATACCTTATACATCTATTTATGTTTTGCCATAGTACAAATAGGGCTGCTCTAACGACTATTTTTCTATGGATTAATCTATCGACTCTTTTACCGATTGGTCGATTAATGCAGCCGATAAATTTTCCTCCAGAAGATCAAATACACCATTTTAATTAATTGTATTTTAACTACACCAAACTGTATGTTCTTGCAAGGCTTTAGATAATGGACGCCGGCTTTTTGGCACTATACAGGTACGCCATTATTTTTGCCCATAATATCGCCCTCGATAAGCAAATTAGTAGTATGCATAAAATATTAATGTGATACCCAAAAGTGAGTGGTCTGTATGAATTTGACGTACCCTTAGGCTTATTAAATCTGGCTAGCAGAGCTCGCCACATGTGACTATTTGATAAATCATGGAAGTGATAAGCACTAAAGTCAAGAAAGGGACAGATCAACAGGATAAATAAGCCATAAAGAAGTTGGTGATGTGACGCTGCTTTTTGGTGATCAAAGTACGACACTTTTTTTTGTAAATAGTTTTCAATGTTATTTCAGTTCATGAATTATTTTCTTTTATTTTATTGTGTCTATTTTTGTTTGTTTTAGTTTACGATAATAACACGGGTCCCATCAAGCCCCGTGCCGTGGAACACACACCGGCATGGTCAGTCCACGTAGAATAAGCCCAGACTTTAGCCTAAACATTTTCTCAAATGGAGATTCTCATGAGTGTATTTCAATAAGCTACAAGGAAAAAAGATATTAAAAAGCTCTGTACTAATGCTAATTTAATAAACATGAATAGACAACACTTACGGTGGTTTTGCTTGTTCTGGCGGCCCAGAATAGTGGCTGTATTTTTTTCTTCAGGTGCTCGTGCATCGCACTAGTGCCCCTGTAGTATGCCATCGAAACTTGGCGCAGTGTAAAACCACCTTTTTGTGTTGTAATAATTTGAACTACTCCCATAATTACACAGTAGTATTCAGTGAAAACATTTGTTATAATGAATTGAAGTGTTTTAGAAATCATAATGGTAATTTAATTAAAATAATTTTTAAAAACAATGCGTCGATTTTAAAATATTGATGTTGACGCATTTTCAGCCTCAATTGATTGTCAACATCATTTATAAAATGTACTAATCGCGGCAGCCTTAATTACAAATCTACAGTTTTTTGTTTAAATCATATGTAGCTGTGTATGGGCCTGTCCAGGTTAGTCAGCATTTACAATTGCCAATATCCCCATAGTCACACACTACATGTGATGGCAGCCAGAGGTAGAAAGCCTGACCTTATCTGTATTTCTTTTTTTTTTTAAGTACAACATTTTTCTTTAGATAGTTATTTTTATTCATTTGTATACTTTACCATCCAAAGACATAGCAAATGTGTATGTGGATAAAACCAAGAGAGCCGATTGTCTTGCTGAACTACCTTAGAAATTGGAGACGCTGCTCAAGTCTAATTGAATCCATACCTGAGTGAGTTGAAATGGCATTGAATGAATCTTTCGTTATCATGCGCCGGTTCGATGGAAGTGGAGCCTTATTACTACCTGTTTAGTTCCTGCTTCCGTCCCGACCCTCTGTCCCAAAATGCCACCATGCTCACTGTGTCTTACCTAACCTGCATCAGCACGTCTCTCACATTAATAAAAATGGATGGATCAGCAGTAGTCTGGTTTGGGCTTCAGCTTCATGCAAATCCCAGTGTAGCCACAAGATGGCAAAAGTGAAGAGTTTATTTGAACATGGAACCAGACAGGTTTATGCACAGGAAAATGAATGTTTTACACGTACTTGTACGCTTTCTCTGTTAAAATTATGACTTGGTCCACCTGCACTTGTTGCATAAGTATCATTGAAATATCTGGTGGCATGGGCTAGCCCCTCAGCGCACGGCACTGTCCAGGTCAGCAGTTGCTTTCACTGCTTCTCATGCTGAGAAACGAGCTTTCAGTCTGTCATTACAGGCAGCCACAAGTATGGGCTTTACGATTTTTTTTTTGTTACAGCAGCAATCTACGTCTCGCTACAAACATGAATTACACGGCACATATAGCTTCAGTATAGGAAGGGTTTAAGATATAATTAAAAAAGGATGCACAGGTGAAATATCCCGTAAGTGATCTGGCCAATAGGTTAGGGTATTGCAATAATCCCCAATATGCATCATAAGCTGGAATAACTATTAGTGTCAAAGGTAGTGCAAGTGTAGAACATGAATGAACAATAAGCAGTCTGCAGTGTAAACAGTGTGCAAATATGTGCAAGTTGTAGTGGCCAATGAAAAACAATGAAGGACGATTACTCATTACTTGATGTTTACCAGTAATTTTGTACAGGATTTGCATCCCATGTACTTTACCTGTCAATAGTTTGAGGACAGTTACTAATAATGACATCTTTCATTATGTTGGCTATCCTCTGGTTTTTCTTCTTTTCTCTTTACCCAGTGTGGAACAGGCTGAGCACGTATGAGTATATTGTCCGGCAACGGCATCGCCAGGACCCTAAGGGATCTGCCAAAGGCCCCTCGGAAAGCAACCCAGCACCACCCAGAAACCAACCGACGAAGGTAGAGAGTCTCTGGCCAGTAAGAGTGCCTTCAGATGTGTGTCATTTAACCTCTGTCAGCACTGCTTGATCCATGGTCCATGTGGCAGCTCTATGACCGCTTTCTGCCTGTACTGTAGGTGGGGGTTTAAATCGTAACTGCTGTGGGAGGTCAATGCCTCCATGCTGAGCATTTACTGCCCACACTCTGGTATCAGCATTTCTGAGGATCAGAACTTTGGCAGAATTGAAGAAAAAAAAATATCAGCCATACGTTTTTTTTTTTTTCCTCCTACCCTTGAGATATGAAAGACTTGGTCTTGATCTAAAGCAGCCTGTAATAGATCTACCTGCCATAAGGCATTTCTCCTTGTCTCCACTTGCCCTTGAAGATTAAATCAAGTCCTGGAAATTTGATCCTATGTGAAAGAATGGGAGACAAGCCTTTGAATGCTTTCCACAAGCTGCTTTGCTTGGTTAAAGTCGGAGAAGCATTGCCTCATCTCCGCTTGCCGCGGGCTGCTGTCCTTTTATCCACCTGGGCCCCGAAATCGAACTCCCATTTGCAAGCACACCTGTTGTTTTCATTAATTTTTAGACAATCCTATCTGAAATGACAAATGTGTTTTTGGGAGGTGAAACGCACACCGTGTGGAAAATGGGGGTAGCTTGTTCATCAACTAAGACCCCGAAACGGCACTTGGTCACATGCACTTGGGTTTGAGTAGCTCAGTACCCTGTGTATAATGCGGTCTTTTGGTCCAGGTCTGGGCCTTTTAGTCACCTGGGACAGTTGGGCTGATTTTGGTGCCGTGTTCGTTCTACACTGAAGTCAGTTCCGCCATATTGTTAGATCAGATAGAACAGGTGACAGGTGCTGGACAGGTGTTAACAGCTGAAGATGATGAGGGATTTACATTGTAGCCAGTGCCGGTCTGTCACTGCCTGATGGATGAGGATAATCATGCCTGCGATGTCGCTCCATGGGCGTGTCTGGTCGCACCGTATCTCATGGATTCAGCAGAGCGCCTCACTGACTGCACCCCACGGTAGAAATGCTGCCGTCAATCCGCAATGCCCCATGCCACAGGAATGTCACCGGCTAGCATGGTATTGGCGTAACCCAGGAGACCTGACCGTGCACCAATGTGGGGAAACTGTGGTCGACTCCTTGTCTCTGAGGGCAATTAATACATTCCCTGGAAGTGTAGCACCATTCCAGATAAACGCAGAGTAGAGGAAATCGGGGGTGTGACAGTGAGGTCATTTCCTTTTCCTGAGGAGAATTACCATCGAGAGAGATGAGTGAAATGCCTTTTGGACATTGGACTGTATTTAATTTATATCAATGGAACTTCTCCAAATGTTTATTTTTGTTTCATCCCAAGTCAAATTCTAGTTGAATGCACTTGATGGCGGATTGAAAGATTTAATTTCTTATAAGCAGTTTGACGTTTTATGCTCCGTATTTCTGTTTCCTTGTTAGAAATGTCTGTTCAGGCAGACTTGGGGGAGTGGGGAGGAGAGAGACAGATTTATCTTTTTTGATGACATGTGAACAGAAGCACATTGTCATGATCTTCACACGGTGCGATCTGCTTTTGGCATGATTCTTCAAAGCCCTCTGACCTTTATTCTTAAGCTGACAGTCAGCTGCCAGTCATGCCTAAGCGACTTCAGGGTGACACTGAAATGTCCGTCAACTGTGCCGGCTGCGTCTGTGGGTGAATCGTCTCCCCATGTGTCTTAGCTGCTCCTCTGTGCTACCGGGGGACCCTCTGGGTTGGGTTCCACCCCCCCCCCCCTGCATGAATCAGACTATGCCTCACTGATAGCGACTCTGTCCTTCAGTCACTAGGCTGTCGTGTGAAGGCTCCGCTGAAATAGGTCTATCTTCACCTCTCACCAGTCATATAAAATGGTTTCACTAGGTGTTTTAATGCTGCAGAAAGAGCTTTCAGATGGTAGCACCTATCAATCAAGAAAAATATTTGTCTCGCTTAAGTTTTTATGGCAGATTTTAAAAACATTTGCTCTGTAATTATTATTTTGCCTTTGTTTTAAGGGTTTTTTTTTTAACAATGTACCTGTTAGATTTGGATGTGGTTCATTGTATTATAAATTACATTGTAACACTATCCACCCAGGAAGTAGGTCCTTACCCAGAATCCCTTGCCTTTATAATGATCTGTATGTGCCAGTACTTGATAAGGAAATGATATTTAACACAATTTCCCCTCCCACCCTACACCAGGATGTGAGCTATTCAGGAACGCTGGGTTACACCAATGCTGAGATGGATGTGGAGGAGTCCGTTGCTGTGGCAACACGGGCAGGACCAGAGTAAGCTTCCCGCAGGACCCCCCCCCCCCAGTTCACAGCGGCAGTTTATTGGGACGGGTGGGAGGGGGGGCAGCCGTGTTGTGTCCCTGGGCGGGAGCCCGACAGTCACCTAAATCACCCTATAAATGAGCAGAGAGAGGAACATGATATCAGGGCCTCAATTTGACAGGCAAGAAAATGGCAGCTTGTCAACACTTTGCGCTACTGCGTTACTAAGAAATAAGAGATCTGCAACTGCTGACAATTTGTCTTTTATTCAATACATAATTAATTCTTTTGAGGAAAGAAGTTTACTCCAAATTCAAAAGGATTTAGGAAGTTTTAATCCAGACTTAATTGGTCTTTTTTCCCTTAGAGCTTGAGGGTTTTAAATGTTAAAATGTGTAAGTGAGAACCTTGACTTCAGATTTTGATGATCTGTTGTCATTGCAGTGGACCGGTTGGTGCAGGTTTCATTACACACAATAAACAGTCGCTCATTTAGCATTAACGTTAAATTCATAACAGAGATGACAAATTAGACATCATAGCTGTTGCCATGGAGTCTGTTTTCTTAGGAAAAACAAAATACTGTAAATCAAATTCTTTTCCCATGACTTAGATAATTTGTGGTAAGAACAACAGTGGATATTGTATTCGTGTATAATTGCAAGACTTAAATTGGAGAACAGTGTGTCCTCGATGTTAGTGGGTATAGAGCAGTGCATTTCTGAAATACATTGTGTAGGCTGTTAATCTATCCTATATTTTGTCATTCTGAGCATAAGATTTGTAATTCCCGCTTTGGACACGGTGGCAAGCAGTAGTGCAGGTTTGCAGTGTCAGTGCAGTAGTGCAGGTTTGCAGTGTCAGTCAGTGTGTGAGTGCAGTTGTGCAGCTCGATGCACCAGTTCGTATATTGTACATCAGAGTGCACTGTATAGCCATAAGTACCCTGCAGAAGGATCAATTACTATTACAGTTGTTGGAATAATGCCTGGGTGGTGATGGCGGCTTGGCCAAAACTGGCAAGGCATCCAGGTCACGCCTGGCTTTCAAACGACTGCCCTCCTGCTAACGTTTATGGAGGATTTTGTTTGGCATCTCAGAAGTATTACGCTGCAGCACATAGAGGCGCGTATATCAAGAGGGGGGCGGCTGTGCGACTGAAGTTGGCTCATCATGGTCTCCCAAAGGGTGTGTCCCTCCATGTAGATATCTCTGAGAAAAAAGTTGTTTACTGTGTATGCAACTGCATCATTGATAATTGCACTGGAGTGGAATGGCTTTACAAATAGTTTAAACAGTGACAGGATCGGATTGTTTTAAACCTGCACATCCACAGCAAAGTTCTTACCCTGAAGTAGTGTTTCTTAAGCTGGTGGGCAGCAATTTGCAGCTTCTCAGTTTATAAGCTCTTCAACACTGTAGATTCTTCGACCCTCCTCCAAGAAGCATGTTTTGGAAAACTCAGAAATGGTATAAAAAAAAAAATTAAAAAATAAAAAAAAAAACCACATGATAGCAGTGTATGAATCTTATATAAGCCGCGATCTTTTCAGCTCATGGTTCTCATAGAAGGCCGCTCTCCCTCTCTGGTTCTTGCTGGGACGCAGGTTTTGCGGTAATGGGCGGGTGAGGAGTCTGTCCCCCCAGACGCCGGAGGGTGAGCATTTTCCTGTTGCGTACGCTGAACACGAACTGAACCGTCACCCCCAGAAACACACGCAGGTACGAGCCCCGGGGGGTGGCCATCTCAGGGTGTGGGAGGCCTCTGTGCTAGAGAGATGGCAAGCGGCTTAGCGGTCAGGCTAACGGGTGTTCGATAATGCCTATATTTGTGGTGCTTACGCTCCTCCTAGTTTATTTTGGGCCATTGAATCATCAATGTGAGTGGACGTAATGTGTATGTCTGCAAGCGTCCTGTAAACAGCATTGATCTTCCCCTTCACAGAAGAGGAAGAAACGGAAGGTGCACAAGGTCCCTGCTGAGCTCGCCGATGATCGACCCGGGGGGTCCACCAGCAGGCCCCCTGCGGACGCTGTGGAAGCAGGTGAGACTCTCCACTGGTGCTGTGGTCTTTCCCATGATTGGTTACATGCCTTCACTGCTGCTGGCATTCTGGTGCTGGTAGTGTGTTTAGATATGTAGCTTTTTAAATGTTAGTATTTAATTTTAGTAAAGACTTTAAGTATATGGGCCGTGCCACAGTTACTGTGAAAGAATAATTCAGATTCTGGGACACTGTTCAGATTCCGTCCATCGATCTATCCGTCCTCCAGCTGCTCGTCTCTGGTAGGGTCCTGACAGGGGCCTGGAGGCTGTCCCAGGCAGGGGAACATTCCAGACAGGAGACACACAGGGCACAGGGAGAACATGCAAGCTCCACACTTACGCACAGGAGAACGGGATTTGAACACCAAACTTTCTTAATTGTGAGGGAACAGTGCAAGCCGCTCATGTAGTTTGGGACGCAGTTTGGATCCTCTGCAGTGCATAGCTGTCAGGCAAGATTTATACCTCCCCACAAGGCAGTCTTCGGAGAATGATGTCACCAGGGCGGGGGTTGGGGGCGGGAGATGAGGTCCCGCAGATCAGGACTCATCGAACTGAATCATTTTCAGTACTCATGCCTGCATTTACTAAGGGTTTGTCTTTCAAGTACATGTTTCACACTTATTAAAAGCAAGTAACTACCTGACTGTAGCTCATTTAGTGTCCGTATTTTTGTGGCAAATGTAACTACCTGACAATGGCCTGCTTAGCATCTTAGCATCATGGTGGTACTGTGTTTGAAAGATGGCCTCCTTTTGTGTCCCTGCTCTTCCCTCCTGTAGACCCCTGTGTGGTCGCCCTGAGCCAGGGCCTCCCCTTCCCAGCATTCCCTGTGCGGGCTTCCCTGCCCCCTATGGCCCCCGTGCGGGCAGCCGGCCCCCCCGCTGAATATCACTCTGACTCTGCAGAGTCCCTGGAGGAGATTCCCGTGGTTCTGGCACGACTGGGCAGCGCTGCCCCGGTGGGGTCCAGGCCCCCACGTACGGCCCGTTCTGCCTCGGCCTTCCACCACACCTCCCTCCCTGCCACCGCCGTGCAGCACACAACCTCCCCCCAGCTCAGGCCCAAGCGCAAGGCCCCCCCACGCAGACCAGCTGGCCAAACGCTGGAGATGGTAGCCCAGGAGCCGGCCGTGTTCGTCAGCCGGAGTAGTGGACAGAGCCCCTGCGCTTGGGATGGGCCCAGCCCCAGGACAGGAACCCCCTCAGCATAGGGAGGCTGGGCTGTGGTGGGCGGGGCTTCCCTGACTCTGGTGCTTATCCAATTGCAGCTGATTGGAGGACATGCCGTGTGATGCCTTTGGTCTTCTGGTGCCATAAAAGCAGCGTGTCTCCACACGCTTACCACTCCTACAATAAGGTGACGGTGGAATCCTCATTCCTAGTGAATCGCTGCACTTCCTAATACTATGACTCCAAGAGATATTTTTATAGTAAATGTTTTATTTATTCTTATTATAAATGCCAAAGCTTATAAACATTCTATTTCTGAAAGACAATAGCTTATTTATTTATATGGAAGTAAATTTGTTCCCCGGTACAATTGCATTACCTCAAAATATAGATTCTTTTTTTTTTTTTTATATATATGTCCACTTTCAAATTTTATTCAGCCATCTCTGCACTTTTGTAAAAATCTTTCTCTTGTACTATTGCATCCATCCCTGTGTTGTGATTAAGTCACTGTGGATTGGCTGGGAGCTTTGCACGAAGAAAAATTTTGCATCCTGTGTAAGGAGAGCGAAACGCCTGAACCGAATCCGGCTGTGTTCATGTTCACAGCCTTCCCTGTTCGCCTCGGCCCATAAGCGTTTCCTGATGACGGCTTGAATAAACGGGCTTGCGTTGCGGCCCTGTGTTCAGTCTCTCTGGTCGCGTCACCATGACGTTGGCACATCCCCTGTGTCATGCTGCATGGATGCTTTCAGGCTGCAGAGGAGTCTGGGAGATGCAGGAGCGCATGGCCCCATGCGACGTGTGTGCCGTGTTGTGTGAGCGGTAAGTGGCATGGGATTGGCGCTGGAGTTCGAGCAGCCAGGCCGAGGCGTGGCAAAGCGTGGCAGACGGCTCACCCTTCCTATTGCTGCCTTCGTTTTCTCCCTGCTGTCGCTAAACCCCAAATGAAAAGGTCCCGGTAACTTGCCGGCTATGGCAGCGCAGCGCCAGGCCGGGAGCCCAGCGGCCAGCAGCACCCTGGAGAGCTGCTCTGCCAGAGCGACCTCGCTTTCATCCTGCCAGTCATTTTGGTTTATTTTCGGTTCCTGAAGAGGATTCAGTTCCCATCCGCGCTGCCAGCGAGTAACAACCTGTTTCTCTTTTATTTATTTTTTTGCCCAACAAATGCAGAACCAAGACTGCAGGTTTAACGGCTCATGAGACCATCCACGGCTTCCTTTGGTTCTCTGTGAGGACATTAAAATGATCAAGGCCTTATGTCTAATAGCCTGAAGTTTTGGCTTAATTCAGGTGTTCAGTCGGTGGTCCCTGTTAGGTTTGGTGTGGTATGTTAACAGGATTCCAGTGTGTGCTCAGTGGCCTTCACTGGATTCAGCTCTGTAAGCCAGAAGGAGGGGACTTTGTCATAAGACCCAGTGCTGCAGCCAAACCAGAGCAGTGACCCCTCCCCAATCACCTCTGCCAGGGTCAAAGCACAATAGGAAGGTCAAAATCAGTGAGCCAATCTAAGACTCGCTAATCCAGATGATGTTTTACAAAAGCCTTTTTATGTATCCCTATTCTCAGTTAGTGTCCAGCAATCGCTAAAAATAACCTTTGCTTTTCATTGCTCGAGATCTTCCCTGGCTCGAATCATCGATGTAGTTTGTTTTCTCGGATGACACGCGCCACAGAAATCGCTGGAACTTTCTGTTCCTGATGCAGCTCTCAGCTCTCATGGGGGTTCCAGCTCTGGTATACAGCTGTGATGTGACGGTCCAGTACAACTAACCCCCCCCCCCCCCCACTGGAAAGTCACAACCCTGCTTTGTGTGCTTTGTACGTATTGTGCATTGTTTTGCTGGGACGGTCTTCTCTGGCACCCCCAATCCTGCCAGCTGCCACTAAGTCATCCTGCACCACAGCGGAATAGTGAGGGTCTCCATGGAAACGGTGACGATTTCATAACAGTGTCAGTGAAGACATTTTGAAATGAAAGGGGACTGAGACTGTCTGTGAGAGGCCAGCTCCAGTGGGCAGCCGGTCGTGTGACCAGGACAGTGCCCTTTCCTGTCCATCCATGTTTGTCTTAAATCAGCTGTACTGATCAATGTCATTGTCTCTTTATACACATTTTATTTAATAAAACCGCAAAGAGCTAAATGCACCCGAAGGGCCTGCTGTTGTTAATATGACATTCTCAGAGTCTTTGGAAGCATTCAGCTATGTGACCTTTGCGTCTTCAATGCCTGTCTCATTTTATACATCTGAAACAGGTCTGTATTTTGTAATTAAACTAATTTTCCTTTGCGTGTAAGTCTGGTTGTGTGTTTTTTTTTACTGCATTAGAGATGGGATGGTGGGATGGTTGACTTTTGCATTGTACCAGTATAAATGTTTTAAATTTGATATATTGTTTGTAGTGACAGTGTTCTTCACCTTAAGTACATTACATTAATTACATTACATTACATTACATTACAAATTTCATTATCTTTTGTTCCTGTGATTGTCCTGTGAATTGTCCCACAGAATATCTCCATCATTCTCCATTGTCCACAGGTGCCTGCTGTTTTTACTCCGTCTTTGCACATTCCCAGTCCGTTTTTCCATGTTTTGTTTTTTTTTTTTTTTCTTCCCAGCAGTGAGTGCTGGGGCAGCTACTTCCGAGCACATTAAAGCAGATCGATGGTGGGATTTAGCTCTTCCAGCCCAAAAGTCTGCCGCAGCCCACACAGTGCGATTCCTGGGGCCAGATGGACGACAGGCAGTCCAGCATCCGTTTACATCCCGAAGAGACGGCAGCTAAATGGAAGCATATGTGATGGGATGCTGCTCTCGACTGCTGTTTTTCTAGGCGTCATGGTGAAAGTCAAGGTGTCCCTGCACAGGCCTTACAGCCATCAGAGCAGCGTAACATTTTTAACATACAGATGACATACTTTGAGTCTGAGCTGGAATGCAGTGCAGTCAGATTACCCTTTTATGTTTGCTATCGCGTTCCCTTAGAAACATTGCTGTGCTTAGCCGCTCAGCAGTTGCCGTCGCCGTGGGAACGGGGTGAAAAACACTTAGAAATCAAGCCGCTTCCTCAATTTGGTTCGCGTCCCAAAGAAAACAGCTGCCGGTGCCCCATCTGGGCTTGTGACGCCCGTGGGTTCTTTCGGAGATGGGGGGGAGCGTTGAGGGCGGCCCAGAGCATCGCCCACCTGCCCTCATTGCACGCGGCTCCGTGTCCCTTTGTTACGGTGGAGGGGCCAGCAGATGGACATCTGTTTCCTGTCAGGACCTTGTCCGCCCCCCCCCCCTTCCTTCTGAAGTGTGGTGAGCTCACAACAGCCCATGATGAACACCCTCCGTAGGGGCAGGCTTACATTAAAAGCAACAGCGGGTAACCGTAAGCTGATGACACGACCATGCTCGTCTGTCCATAAAAGCCCAGTGCTTCTCGATCCATCAGCCTTATTCAATTACAGCACTACTCCAGAGAGTGCCTTCCCCCCCCCCCGCCCCAGCTCTTGCCGTGCCATTAAGGTCTCAGACGGAAATTTTAAATGGATTCAATCAAAATAATTAGTTGAATCTGGTGGATTCGGGAGTCGGGCTGGAATAGAAAGCTTTTTGGGTTTAGCAGAAAAGCCTGTGTGATGTGTAAAACACAGAATCTGTGCTGCCCCGAGAACGCCACCAGAAAGGCCCTTCTCTATGTCGTCTTTCAGTCCTGCTCACTAAGGCAGGTTCATTGTTTTTTGCCAATTAATTAATGCTTTTTATTCAGTGCACGCCATTTTGCCCATTTATTATGGTACTTCTTGCACGTCAGTGTTTAAATTTCCTTACCCAGGTGTGCAATGGTAATCTCCCGTTCTCTTTAAGCCTGTTTTCATTTCAGTAGTTTGGTGTTTTCAATTTGGTAACAGATGTGAGCCCCTCCACTGCAGCGGCCTGTCCCTTGGGAGGCTGGTAAACTTTGAGTCCGGAGCAACAGCAGGGACAAGCCTGCTGGCCACAGAGTCCTGCAGGTGCTGATAAGTCCCCTTTACCCCCGTATTCAAGATCAGACCTCAGTGGCCAAAAGTGCACCGTGCATATAGAGTACTGGGCAAAAGTCTTAGGCAGTCAAAGGAAATGCTTTAAGGCTATTTATCTGGGTTGTACGTATCTTAGCTCAGAACAAAGCACAATTTAATATTAAAAGATGCAAATTAAGAGTGACAAAATTAAAACAGGAATTTCTTTTATTCTGTAAAAAGTTACTGATATCTTGTTGCAGGGCTAGAACACCGCTTCAGTTCCCAAACCTCTTCCAGCTCAGTTAATTAATTAGCTTAATTAGTTAACTCAATGAGGTATTGAGTATCCAAACAAGGTGGGGTAGAGGTCGTGTAAAAAAAATAAAATAATAATACGTGAATAATAAGTGAATTGAACAGTTGCTGCAGGTAATTTTAGAAGAGGTTGACACACTTTGATGCCCATATTTTCATGATGTATAATATCATTATTTTGCACTAATATGAAGATCATTTAAAAAAACATTTTTCTGCTCATGAAGTCCTGCATATCGCCAAAACGGTTGTTTCCATCTTGGTTATTTCCTAATGGCTGCTTTCTAGCTCTCCTGGGAATGTGACTAGCGGCCATGCAGCTCCCCGCGGGGCTGCCGTCACCAGGGGCGGATTAAGGTGCACAGAGGCCCCTAGGCTACAGTAGTCTGTGGGCCCCCCAACCCCGCCCCCCTCCGCGCCAATGGGGGCCCCCTTGCAGGCTGGCACACGTGGGGCCCCTAGGCTTAAGCCATATCTAGCCTGTGCGTTAATCCGCCCCTGGCCGTCACACTGCAGCACCGACAGCGTTTCCCGGTGAAAGGTGTGATGGCTTCTTGGCTGCTGATTGGTGGGAGCTTGTTCCTGTCTAACAGACAGCAGGAGGCTTTTCGCCGGGTTTCATCAGTGTGCATTTCTGCTATTAATGCAAGAAAAACTGGACGGCATGAGGAAGACACAAGTGTTGGTTGTATGCAATGGTCTTACTTCTGCTGATCTGGTTCTGGTTGTGAGACTGACTTCAGCAGGCTGGTGTGTTTGTGATTAAACAAGGCATCGGCAGGATCCCTGAACGTGATCAATGCCTGATGTTTGTTCACACCTAACGGTGTGGTTGCTGCCACCTTAAATAACACCCTGATTTATTGTTCTGTGGACCTACCTGCTGAATCACACTTGTGGTTGATCCACTTGTCCTCCAGTGGGAGATGCCTCAGATGAAATACTTCCCAGCACAGCTACAGTAATCAATAGGTTCAGAACTCGAGGTCCTCGTAAAACCAAACCATTGCTGTAGATGTGTGGTCTGTGCGTTCCACATCTGCCGGACTTATTCAGTGGACCTGGTAGCTGCGTTGTTGGAACCTGGCCGGGTCCATATGACCTAAGCGACGTCGTCTGAGGTCATCCAAGGCTACTGGATAAACCCATTGGCCATGATTACATTTCAAACATGATGCAGATGTTTGTGTTCTGGGAAGCTATTTTAGTGCAATTATGGTGGAACAGCAAAAGTTAGGACAGCTTTCTCATTGTTCAGAGGCAGAAGGGGATTCCTGGTCCAGTTAACAGAGGTGAGCAAAGGTCACATCTCTGCTGGCTTTATTATTTAGCTACTTAGCAACAACAATAATTGTTGAAGCAATTCATGTTATGTACCAAATGGTACAACAAGCTAGACCCTCCTGGGATATGGACCTGCAACTTTATGGCAATAACTTGGGTTCCTTGACCATTGTACCGGCCACAGCTCAGCCACACAGGCTCCAGTGCTTCCAAGCTGATCAGACTATCTCTCTAATTTTAGGACCATTACAGGTCGCTGCCGGCAGTGTTCCCGACACATTTTGGTAGGTTTTGGCTTCAGAGGAGAGAGTGAGTCTGGTGTGGTAGATCACAGCTCATTGGAATTGCCAGGAGATCAGAAATACACCCCATCCGGTATGCAAGTGAGTCCTGGCTCTCGGAAGTGAGTCCTGGCTCCCTGAAGTGAGTCCTGGCTCCCTGTAGTGAGTCATGGCTCCCGGAAGTGAGTCCTGGCTCCCTGAAGTGAGTCCTGGCTCTCTGAAGTGAGTCCTGGTTCCCTGAATTGAGTCCTGGCTCTTGGAAGTGAGTCCTGGCTCTCTGTTTTCTAGACCAGTGTTTCCCAATCTGGCCCTTGATGACCCACAGACGGTCCATGTTTTTGCATATGCAGTCCTGTGCAATAGTCTTAGGCAGTCAAAGTAAATGTTTAAGGCTAGTTATCCGGGTTGTAAGTGTATCTTAGCTCAGAAAAAAAAGCACAATTCAATATTAATACATGCAAATTTAGAGTGAAAAAATAAACACTGACTGGAATTTCTTCTATTCTGTAAAAAGTTACTTGTGTGTAACTTAACTTGTAATATATCTTGTAAGTTATCTTGCTGCAGGGCTAGAACACTGGTTCAGTTCCCAAACCTCGTCCAGCTCAATTAATTAATTAGCTTAATTAGTTAACTCAATGAGGTATTGATTATCCAAACAAGGTAGGGCAGTATATTGTATGATTGCTGCAGATACCTTGATGATTTTAAGAAGAGGTTGACGATATATGCAAAAATGTGGACTTTCAGACAGGGAGCTGGGAGGGAACAAAAATTTGGATTGGCTGTGGGTCCCTGAGGGCCGAATTGGGAAACACCGATCTAGACCAATGAGGGGCCGTTTGGATCATGGTTTAAGTATAAGCATGAGGGGGTAGAGTGTGGATCAGTGGGCTAAGCCTGTGTGTCTGTAATCAGAAGGTCACTGGTTCAAAACCCATCTCCGCGCATTTGCAGCTCCTTGAGCAAGGCCCTTAACCCCTGGGTGCCCTAATAGGTGGCTGCCCTCTGCAGACAGCTTACTCTACAAAGAGCAAGTTGAGGGAGGCATAAAAAAGACAATTTCCCCATGGGGATCAATGAAAGTATCAATTATTATTATGAGGGCAATTGAGAACCAAATAGCTTCGGCTTCATGTCTCGTGCAAAGCAGGGCAGAGAAGCGTAAAGTCATGAAGGGGACAGGCCACTTTATGAAACCTCTGAGCCTCGGGTAGAACAGAGTACGTTGTCATCTTCACATTTACAGCGCTGGCACCCTGCCTTGGCGATTAACCTTATTCCTGTTATTAACGTTTAAATGTTTGACTTGTTGAATGACCAGCTGTGGTGAACAGACGCGGTCGCCAGTGAAATGAAGGACCTCAGCTCTGACTGGGTGCCCAGTGAAATGAAGGTCCTCAGCTCTGACGGGGTGTCCAGTGAAATGAAGGACCTCAGCTCTGACTGGGTGCCCAGTGAAATGAAGGACCTCAGCTCTGACTGGGTGCCCAGTGAAATGAAGGACCTCAGCTCTGACTGGGTGTCCAGTGAAATGAAGGACCTCAGCTCTGACGGGGTGCCCAGTGAAATGAAGGACCTNGTGCCCAGTGAAATGAAGGACCTCAGCTCTGACTGGGTGTCCAGTGAAATGAAGGACCTCAGCTCTGACGGGGTGCCCAGTGAAATGAAGGACCTGAGCTCTGACGGGGTGCCCAGTGAAATGAAGGACCTCAGCTCTGACGGGGTGCCCAGTGAAACGCCTGTACGTTTCCAGTGTTAATGACCATCTTTGCTTTATTGTCACTCTCACTGCTATTCCTCATTATGGGCCATGTGTAAACAGGCAGGACAGCCTACAGCTGAAAGTTAAAGTGGGACAAGAAGTTAGAAAGAGTTTGAAATACAAAAAAGAAATGTAACACTTGGGGAGCGGGGAAGACGACAGCGTAAATCTAGGATTTGTTTATAACTTTGTGGGCCATTAAATTGTGGGAAAATGAATTTAATTACATCCAACCATAATTAAAAAATATATTTCAGTATGACATCAGGCGAGCTAGGTCACCGTTGGCTCTGAGTTGGTGGCCTGTGTCCACAGGTTCAAATCCTGCCGGAGTGGAAGTTCTTGCCATAGGATGGGGAGGAAAGAAGGTGATGGGTTCGGATGGGGGAGGGGAGGGGCCTGGAAAATCTAACTGCATGATGGCTGGTGGTGCCAAGGAAGGAGCGAGCAGGGGAGGGGAGAGGAATCGAGGGCCGGCAGCTTGGTCGGAGCGTCTTGACGGGAGAATCTGATGAACCAACGCATGCAAGGGGGGGTCCCAAGGTGCCCCTACCTTCCAGCCTTACACTAGAATCTAGTGTGAAGGGCTGGTGAATGGAATGTCTTCGCAATCTCTGCCTGGCCCATTTGTGTCCTGCTGACTCTGAATTGTGTGTGTGCGTGTGTGTGTGTGTGTGTGTGCGTGTGTGTGTGTGTTTTTTTTGCCGTCGCTTTAAGCATGAAATCGTCACGCTCATCGTCTCAAGCCGAGTTGGATGCAGGCCCAGCTGGTTTTTCTTCAGGCCATTCATGCATGTCACAGTTACACGCCATGATGCAACATCTCAGAGTCTCAGATATCTGAGTGCAAAAATCCTAATAAGGCAGTCATGCCAAAAGTGTGTGTCAAACGCATCTGAGAGCGTGCAGCCATAGCTTTGAAGAAACCAACTGTTGCCTTTTTAACACATTTAATTTCTTTTCAATCTGTTTGCTTGTTTGCTTTGTTTCCACTGTGTACTGTCTTTGCACATTTTCTGTTTAGCACTATGTTCTTGCTGCTGTATGCACTAGAATTTCCCCCTGGGATCAATAAAGTCCATCTTAATTTTAATCTTAATCTTAAACCCTACATAATTTGACTAAAATAAAATAAAAATAGCTTGCTGTTCCACTAATATACTGCGGCAAATAAGTGCCCAAGCAAAAATACTTTTTAAAAATCCCTGGTGGGACCTTCTAACTCTTTCAACCAAAGCATTTGCTTAAGCATAATTTGCTCAATTGAAGTACAAACCTATTTTTACCTGGATATTACCTGTGTGCATAACCGAGAGCCAGGCTGGGTGATTCACCGAAACGTTTAAAATTAACAAAACAAAGGGAGGTAACAAGGACATAGATTAGCAAACATATTGAAGGATGGCAGGGTGACGTTATGCTGCTTCATCAACTAGCAATTATTGCTGAAGGACCAGCAGCATCCATCCAGCTGCCATGGCGACTCCTCCCCGCGTGAGAAGATGCCGACCGGCAGCTGAAGGCTCGCCTGCCAAAGCCAGTACCAGGCCGAAACTCCACACCTTCCAAATATATCCCGGGTCCAGTTATCGTGCCGCCTAGCATTTGGTCCTGTGCTCTCCAGTTCCCCGCCGCACTGGGAGACGGGTGTCTGTGCACGCCCTTGCGTGACTGGAGACTGTCATTAAGGTCACATGAACAATGCGAGGAGCCGAATCCAGGGGGACCTTGCTTGCATTCTACCTTATTTTCATTTCATGAGAGAGGCCACTACAGCCTGCCTGAAGAATTGACCTCGGTCACTTGGTTGCAGAGATTTTTTTTTTCTCTTCTCCCCCCCCCCTTTTTTTATTGCCCTCCCTTGATGTTCAACAGGATGTCTCCATGGATACAGGGATAAACAGGGGATAACAAGGCATCAGCCTTTAAAGCGCATTTCAGCAGCGGAGCGCGCGGGAGTGGCTGGCAGGCGGGCGGGCAAGGCGCACCAGGAGCACAGCGCAGCACAGTGCAGCACAGTGCAGCAGGGATACGCAGCAGCAGCTCGCAGAGGTAAGGGGGGGCCATGAGGGGTGGGGCTCTGTCTCCGTCCCTGTCCTTGAGACTGAGGTTCATCCTCTCCGCCCAGTGTCTGGGCTGCCAAAGCTGGGACTGGACGGGACTTCGTACCCAGGCTGTCGCTGCTGCTCCTGCACTGCCATTAGGTCTGTGCCGTGCGGCGTTTCTGCATGAATTCTCCCGCGTGGGGATGCACCTCCGGTCTGATGCATGCTCTGAACTGCGCAATTAACGGCGCTGCGTTGCGTGGCTGTCAGATCCAAACGCAAACTGCCTGTTCCTGATCTGAAATTCTGCACAGGCTGATTCTTAAGGGGCTTTGCTGTTTGATGACAATATCACTGGATTATTCATGCATGTGTATAGGTATTAGTATTGATTGCTTCCTGTGCAGTGAGGTAATGTCTGTATGTATACAAATGTGCATTCACTTTGGCAGAGGAAATAGCATGTGCATTCATAGTATTAAATCTTGATTTTAATTTTTGGTAGTAATCTGAATTTAGGTGGTAATCGGATGGCTGTACAGAGCCATAGAAACTAGAATTATTGGCTACTAATAAGCATGATTTTAAAATGCATCATGTCGAAGAAAGTCTAACGGGCTGAAATTGTACCAATGAGCAATTCTACCATTATGTTATTTGTAGTGATTGATGTTATTTTTGTGTAACCTATTCTCATTGTTTGCCATTATATTTGTAACCATGCATTAACATGTGCACATTTTATTATTTAGTTTTAATAATGGAATAGTGTGATAATTGTATTCATTAGTCCGTAAATAAATGGCTTCATGAGCGCGGACTGGCAGAAGCTCAGCGGCTGAGGCGGCGGGTCTCCGAGGCTGCAGCGTAACGCTCGCAGGGGGGGTATGATATCATTTAATGACAGCAGATATGCTCAGAAAAGGAATCGATGAAAATTACCCTTTAAATCTTTAGAGCGATTTTCCTGGTGCCGCTGCATGTAGCGGCTGCAATCAGTTACCGCCAAATTCTCTTTAAAGAAGGAGTTTTATCAGGATTGTTCAGGTGAAAACCCACTTCTGCAAATGTGCTATATGTGTCAGGACATAATAGCAGTGACAGCTATTTATAGTGCTTGTTATTATTAACTTGCCGCCACCGAACTAGTGACGCAGAGCTGCAGCACTTTCACTGTATATTTAGCGATTATCCAAATGATGCTGCGCGTATAAAGTGCTTCTTAAGCTAAGCAGGAAACCCAAATTCCTACAGCTGGTGGTTATTTTCATACAACCCACAGAGGTGCCTGATTTCTACGTGCTGCGCGCGGCGTTTCTGCAGACTGAGGGCAGATCCCCGGGCGGTGCGGCTTCTGTACGCACAGGGCGCATGTCTGCCAGCTGCAGGCCACACCTGCTAATGCAAACAGCTCAGCTATTTTATTGTTTACATTGCATAATGTGCCTGCTTACCAGACGCTTTTACGCACATTCACTTACAGATTTTACTCAGTTTTCAGGGGAGAAAAACAATCTATTTGGCTTCCTAACCACTGCGCCCCCTGCTGGTCGGTGAGCAGAATTGGGAGATTGGCATTTGGTCCGGAACTGGAGTGTATCTGAATGTTGCTTCTTTGTTGCAGCACTGTGAGGAAAATGGGGGGGGTGGGCTATTTATAACAATCACTATCACCACCCTTGAAGTCATTGTAAACAAACTAGGTCCTGCACGGCAGTGCTGACAGTTAGTTACACATTGGAAGATGTTTCAGAATAAATAACCCCTTTGTAGTGGCCACTTTCATTCACAATGACATCGTTATTCTCCTGGCTTTGGAGGCGGGTCTGTTGACCCCAGGGAGCCCAGACACAGTGGTGAACTCATATCAGCGCCACCCTTTGTGTAGCACAGAGCAGTCTGGGGTGGGGCTTTCCAACTGACCTGCAAATGAAAACAGGACTGGTGCCACCCTCACTCACTCAACCAGCGCAACACATCAAACCGCTCATTTTTATAGTAATTATTTCTTGGAATGATAATAATCCTGAAGAACAGTATTTCCATGCTTCTTTTAAGCACGAAAAATGCGAATCTGCATTGTAAACAACCAGAGGGTCTCCTGGTACCGCAGGAGGAAGGTTGCTATGGAGACAAGGCCGAGGATTGCATCACCATGACTTTCAGCATAGGTGTGGGGAGCAGGAAGGATGAGGTCACGTCTCGCAGGCCTACAGTGTGGCAGCTTTCGCGACGCACCCCCCCCCCCCCCCCAGCACACTCTGCAGCCCATCCCTCTGTGACATAAACATAAGCAAGATTAAAAGTCAAACAAATGCATCAACCCCTGGCAGCCTCCTCTAATCAGAGCAAGGGTTTCACATGCATTGCAGACAGAGATGTCATCCTCATGGCCTTTTCTGCTCTTGGCAGACGTTCATTTTGCATCCAGCTTAATGGATGTGTAAACCAGCAAGATCCTGATTGCTCGGCTGTAAAATGGATTTTGTGGAGTGAGCGCTGCTGGTTCGGTCCTCTGAGAATGGTGGAGAAATGATGGCAAACCAGAAGCGGTCTGCAAGGGGGTGCTTGTACACTTTCCTTATTTTTAATTATTTCCAAAATTTTAAGAATACAAACAGGATCTCTGTGTTCTGGAATATCTGTCGTCATAAATAGTATATTTATTGCTGTATAAAACTAATGAAATTAATACTCAAGCTAGTATTTAAGGTAACATAAGAGAGAACTGAAATATCTCGGTTGCCAGTCCTTCGTATCTGTCTGCATATATATAAGCTTGAAGCTCCTAAGTCTTATTGGCTGAAATCGTGGATATATATTTTTTTTTCTTTTTTGCTTCTGCCAAGGTGATGCATTTAATGACCGTTTTCCTAGCAGATGTGCTTAAGCTGTCCAGATGTCTTGTGGAGGCTGGTTGTCATGATGCATGTTACAGAATAAAATCTGGTCAACTTTAGAGTCCCCTTGGTTGGTTTTATCCTGTTCAAAATTATTATTTAAGGCATGACAGGTGATTTGGCTCTGCCATGGTTCTGCACGGCGTGTTCATATGATGCATGCCTTCTATTCTGTGCCGCAGAACACCTCAAGATGGCTGAGGGTGCAGACATGGATGAACTCCTAACTTCTTTTAAGAAGTTTGCCATACATGGAGACACCAAAGCCGTCGGGAAGGAGATGAATGGCAAAAACTGGGCCAAGCTCTGCAAGGACTGCAAGGTCATCGACGGGAAGAACATCACCGGTACCGATGTGGACATCGTCTTCTCAAAAGTGAAGTGAGTTAGTCCTAAAGTCACTCTGAGCTCGAGGCTCCGTGGCAGGAGTTGAGTGACACCTTTGATTTATTATAGAAGTCTTCAGACCTCCCCGCTCCGAATGTTTTGTTTTTTATGGCACTCATTTAATCGGCAGAGCGAAGACGTCTCGTGTAATCACCTTCGAGGAGTTTCAGAAGGCTCTGGAAGAGCTGGCCCCAAAGAGATTCAAAGGTCAGAGCAAGGAAGAGGCTCTGCAGTCCATGTGGAAGCTGATTGAGGGGAAGGAGCCTTCAAATGTTGGTGTGACGGTAAGAACAGAGGAACAATCTGTTTATACTCTGGGAGTATCCCAGTCCATCTATACCAGTAATACATGAAGTAACATTACTGTGTGTAGGATGCATTGTGATTTATGTAGGTATTTAATTGTTAGAAAGGCAAAGAAAATACTCCTAATCCCCTTGGAACCCGATCCTTTGAATGATGGTCTGAATGTACGAAATTTCCTACTCTGGCCCAGTTCCAGAACTTAACCTATCAAAGATGGGAACTTTCATCTAATTCATCACACAGCCCTCCCGATTCACCTGCCCCTTCAAGCGCATTAATTATCTTAATGACAAGAAGCCGTGATACATCCACAATGGCATAACACCTGTTTATACACGTCCATAAATGTTTGCAGTATGAGCAAGACTCCTGTCACATGGGGATATTTACCAATCACCCCAACTTTGTATGCAAAGTCCCGTCATTCTGTTGGCGTGAATGTGTCACAGTGGCTATAGAGATGGGCGTGGCAGACAGGGCCACAATAATACACAGACGGGAGGTAACAGTGGAGTTTGTACCAAACTTCCATGAATTGGTCACTTCCTGTTGGTGTGATTTAGATTTTTTCCTCCTTTCGTCATGTACAATCATTTGATGTCATTGCTCAGAATTGGAAACGCTGTCAGGCGTGGTCAGTGTTTGTCAAGTCAACACTGAGGCAGTATTACTACACTTTGCATGCTTTTCCTCAGACTAGCTTGGCTGTACACTCTCTCCCAAAGCCTGTTCACTCCCCTTACTGCCCCCCCACACCCCCGACAGTCTGGTCCTGAGCTGCAGCGACACCATGGCGTAACAGTAGTGTTTCACGACAGCTGACACTCACAGAAAGCAGGGCCTCCAAGGTTTCTGAAGGAAACTTGGAAAGACACGCCGTCTGGCGCCAAGGAGACGTTTGCACCCAACACCAATGCTCTGACAAATGCTGTATTAATACCTTCATTATGACTGTTGAATCTGAGAGCTGCAACTTGGGTTACAGCGAATGCTTTTGGCCTGACGCTTCTTGCCCTTCAGGAAGGGGTGCAAACGCAAAGCATTTACCCCCCCCCCCAGCCTCTCGTTGACAGCCAAGGTCGCGTGTGGCACGCCAATGACTGTCCGCATTGAAGTGCCACATTGACAGCGTCGACCTTTGCGTGTTTCGTTTGCATGCACGTCAGAAAGTCTCCAAGACGGCGGCGATGGACCGGCTGACGGACACCTCGAAGTACACAGGCTCGCATAAGGAGCGCTTCGACGAGGCCGGCAAGGGCAAAGGCCGAGGCGGCCGCGAGGAGCTGGTGGAGAACACGGGTTACGTGGGCGCCTACAAGAACGCCGGCACCTACGAGGAGAAGGTCAAGACGAAGGAGAAGGCGCAGTAGCCCTGGCTGATGGTCTGCGCCCCACCCGCCCCGACACGACTCAGGCAGGTCTGGACCAAGTCTGACATTAGGCCCGAAGTGCAGCCCAGTACCCCGTGACGGATGTGTCGTGCCCTGCGACCAATGGGACGAGGGGGAGTGTCCTCCACGCTGTCTTCATCATGCCTTCTGCGGCTGCGTTCCCGTTGGTGTTACTGGACGATCTTAATGCATGGCCATGCATGCAGAGTCTGTGTGCCTGTATATAGGGGATTATGGGTAATCTGCTTATGATGGAGACAGCTGCAGACATTTCCTTTCTGGATATATATGTTAAAGAAAAAACGAGTTCACTAACAACAAGCCATTTACACTTGATTCACTCTTCTTCCCTGGCCGCTGAAAATGCCCAGTATTAAGCTAAACCGTTACATTAGAGGGGCTTGATGATTTGTGACTCTGTGTTTGTCATAAACTTTTTTTTGATATTTGTTTGATTTCTCAATTGATTAAAAAAACACCTTGTGTGAATTTGGCCAACAGGAAATAGAAGTAGTTTTGTGCCTAAAATATTTTGTCATCTCCAAAAGATTCCAGAAACGTCTTCCGCTAATCACTGTGAAATAAATATTTTAGTGCTATTAGGCGTATAGGCTGTGTAACACTGTTTAGTCATGAAATCCATTGTTTTGCCATTTTGATTGTATCTATCTGCCTTAACTCTTCTGTTGTCCTGAAAATTCACTTTCCAGCTAATCTTAATACTTCCCTTATTAAAATCTCAAATTCTAAATTATTCAAATTTTGAGAGTTGCTTTTGTGTGTTTCACTATGTGCTACAGGAACTGTTGGTACATATTAAATGACCTGCCGCAACTGAACTTAAAAATGTAATTGGAATTGAATTGCCCTTCCTCCAAGTACCCCATAGGTTGTACTGTACCTGTTCACTTTGCAAACTCAAACTGAAGAATCCCTTGGATCTCTAAGCAATCGAACCCGGATCTGGTCGCCATGGCAACACAGTCGCCTGACCACCACCTTCTGTAAAGTGTGACAACTGTTGCCCCTGTGAAATTTGAATATGCTTTCCAACAGGTGAATACAGTAAAGGCTTTTCAAAAATAGAACAGGGCGCATACGTACTTAACACAAGCTGCCCCAAACGGCAGTCTGAGGGTCCGTTTAAGAGATTCCTTTTAAAAACACATTTTTTTTTTTACTTCGAAAAATAAGGGGCCTGATATCCTGGCTGCACGAACCCCTGTGGAATATCCCCTTGTCGTTCATCACTGGTAATTATAATTTTCACTCATTTGTCCACATTACCTTGTTTCAGAATTGGCTCCTTACTTTTCCATTTTTTCCATCTCTGTATTGACATTGTGAATCTGTTCCCAAACTGGAAATATTAAATACATACCAAACAAAGTTATTCAGGAGAAAACATGGATGTGTTTCTGAATCACTTACTTTGAGGCTGTGGGTCTAATTCAGGCCTCTGAAAAATTAAAAATGCCAGACTCGTAGATTTTTGTTCTTGCACACATGAAAATGTGCATTTATAAACATACATATATGTATTCAGTACTGTAACTACATGCACAGTCCACCTATGAAAGCTCTGAACACGGCAGCCGTCTGTAAATGATCTGTCACTTGTGCCTCTCTGCCCTATTTATTTCTCTTTTCGTGTCGAAAATGAGTTTTCCTCATGCCCCAGCTTCTGGCCCTTTACCCCCCGGCCCAACCCCACCCTCTGGACTGGACTCATGCAGGAACAGAGCTCTGTTTGTGCCGTAACCCCGTGTTTCTGGCCACCATCCAATAGAGGGCTCTAGCACGGAACAAACAGTGGTCCCCAGGCAGTAGCCGCTGTGTCTCCCGAGACTCCCTGTGATATTTCTGTCTCCCCCTCCCACCCCCACCTGCCTCATCTCCAAGGAAACGAGGGTAGCTGTTTGTCTCCACTGGGCCCCTTGTGTGTCCTTGCCTGTCACTGAGCACATGGCAGGAAGATGCTATTTGAGATGACGATCGCACTTTCTCGTGGGCGCGGCGGATCTGTCCCTGGAGCACATGCGCGGCAGGAAGGACACGCCCACTGACACACACACTGACACACACACACTCGTCTCCAAGCAGGGAACAGGAAGCCGGCGTGGGTCCCTTGTTGCCATGGCAGCAGGAGTGTACACAAGAAAACATTCCGGCACCTGGCTCCAGCAGCACTCTCCCTTCTGTGTTTGTAACCAAACACACAAGTTCATGGCAACGCTTGTTTGGGACATCTCCTTGGAAGCTCTAATCAAAAACATCTCTATCAGAGACAGCTTCATTGCCACTGGCCTTCAATGCCTGCTGTAACAGGGTGATGAATAGCATAACTGACAGGTCACGTGTATAGCCTCGTACTCGTCGCCCACAGCAGCTGTGGGGGTTGGGTAGCCTCTGTATATGGGGTGATTAATTACCCATAAAGACTTGTGTGTTCTGAGGGGCCCAGTGAGGGGCCCCAATATAAGCAGCTCCATGTGTTGGGCCCTGGCAGCGGTGAGTGTGTGGGGCCCCTCGCCCGCTTCCAGGCCTACCGCTCCGGTCCTTGGCCTGGCATGTCCCAGTCGGGTGCGGAAACGTGAGAAAAGGCAGGGCGTGGGTGTTTGACAGAACTGGCTACGCAGTGCAGACGCAAAAAACAGGTCATTACTGGCCGGTCAGGACAGAAACAGTACTCTTCCCGCGGGTCGTGGCGGCTCTCGGTTGGGGATGTAACAGTGGAGTCCAACTGTTCCACCTGAATGTTCATGCCGTTCAACATCCTGCCAAACGCCATGCAAATAAACCAAGAAGTTGGCATGTGATTTGCCAGTCAGAAGCACTAGGTCTATGCAGCACTCAGTGTTATGCAGAAATCAAACACACTTGGGTGTGTTATGCTGACACTCCTGTATTGCTTGCAACAAATAGGTGTTATGGCTTCTAATATACAGTCATACATTTTTTTTCATACTTTTGCTGAATAACACAGTAAAATGCCTTGACACCGAAGATGTG